AAAAATATATAGTTTTTATAGCAAAATCTCATAACAGATGGTGCCACATACAATTTTAGTTATTTATTTTGATTAAAAATACAAATGTTATTTTTAAAATAAAATCTCACAAAAGCCGGGAAAGTTACGCAACTCGTTGCTAGATTGTTTTTTGACTTTTTTGAATTCGGGAGTCTCAACACGTGATTTTCAAAATATTCGGAGGATCAAATTGGACACGATTCCCATACTTTCCCTTCTTATGCATACGTAACAGCCACGAAAGTAAAACGCCAAATATTTCAAATAGATTATAAGAGTTTAGACGTATACATAATGCGAACCCACGACCAGTGTCAGTCGGCACCGGAAAGAGTTTAAAAAAATAACAAATAAAGTGTCCACACCGAAGAGAGGCAAAAATGGGAGAAATATGTTATATCTAAATTTATATGTTTTGATGTTTAAATTAATTTATAATTTTAACTTTTTATGCAGAAATATAGACATATTTTTCTATTTATTATGGAAAAGTTCGATAACTTTGCTATTTTTAATTATTCTCCAATTTCTTCTTTTAGAATTTTCAACGCGTACGACAGTGCCGGCCCGAGGCAAGATTTAGGATGGAGCAAGATCCTATTATGGCGCCCCCTGGTTGCCCCTAATTTATACCCTTTAATTTTCTTTACCACTGAGGCGCCCCATAGGACTTAGCGCCTGGAGCGGCTGCTCCGTTCGCCCTATGGTAGGGCCGGCTCTGGCGTACTAAGTCCTATTTACCATCGAACATATAATCACAATTAAATCATAAATATTCCTGGTGACTTCAGTCAAAACAATTGAATATGCAACGTCACGGAAAAGAATATTACGCAATTAATCGCTATTTATATTTATGTGCATTTTTCCGCACGATAAAATGGAAGATTGGACGTCATTCATTATATTTTATAATCATTCCACAATCATTTTCATTCTCTTGACTCTTGGTATATTAATTAAGAAACTCTTAAAAGACCCCCCCGGGAGGCATTCTCCCACGCGTAACCTAATACTACGTTCGCACACAATCCACGACTCGCTTCGATCTCGATTTACATCTGGATTGTGACAGTCGCTAGTCGTGCTGTTCGCACAGGCAGTCCGCTCGAGAAGAACCTGGCTATTACACGCGATCATAAAACTGACGTAACTACGCGGTAAGTCACAAACACCAACAAATAAAATGGAAGTTTTGGTTAGAAATGAATACTTTTTCTGGCCATACATCTAATAATAGACAGATGTCGTCGTCTATGTGTCTTTTTTATTTCTCTGTCGATAGCTCGACACGTGTTCCGCAGCCATCTTGTATTTTCTCGCGCGCGTGGGATTGTGGGATCTAGTTTCTTATGACTGGATCTAGTTTCACGAACTCTCTCCAGTCGGATCGCGATTGAAACGGTCGATAGCGTTCGCACCACGGAACACTCTTCCACCTTAGTCACAATCTAGATCGAAATGCTTGGTGCGAACGAGGTATTATACCCCGTTCGCATCCAGCGTTGTACGTGTCGTCACACCTCACATTAAACCAAACTACTAGAAAATGAGGTAACAGCACGTTTGAAAAGAGACACCGAAGATGACAAACTTATTGCTTTATAAAGTATATACAACACGAGATTAAAAAAAAAAGCTGGAGAGAGTTCTTGTACTTTTCCGGCTCGAACAGGAGGTTCAAGGAGCCAGGAAATAAGTCCGATCATTTTCAACGATACTATGATATAACATACAAATAACAGAAGCTTAAACAGAGTAATTTTACTGAATTATGAGAAATTTTTCTATTTTTACAAATGAGAAATATTTGTATAAAAATGGATTATTATAGGGGTAAACACTAAAATTACTGCTCAGAATTAAAATTGTGCGCGAAGCAATCTGTTATGAGATTTTATTAAAAGATAATTTTAAAAATAATTATTATAACTATAAAAAGGCAAAAGGCTTATTTTTTGGGATAGGTATCGATTTTTATTTTATTTTTTTAAATTGGTAAATGACAATAACGAGTAATGATCTTTATTAAGCCTGACCCCATTCGACCTTTCGAGATACGATCCCCTTTCCTCCCCTATATCTTCCTTTTGACTTATTATCTCCAAGATATAATAGCATCAATATACCATATATATATATTCCTAAGTATTCCTGCCAAATTTCAAAATTTTAGGTCCAAGGGGTCCCGATATAAAGCATAAGACACGCAACTCACACACCACACACACCCTACACACACATTTAAAAAAAGAGAGAGAACTGTTTTTGGAATCAGAGGACCTTAAGACATCCGGAGAGTCAAAATTTGACCAACTACAGTACAGCATTTTCCTTCTAACGTACAACAGCTGGGAAAGTAAATTTTTACTTCATTACACTTTATACTATTTAAATATTCTTTCTAGCACTAAATACCGCTATATTTCTGTAATAATTTGTGAATTCTCTTCTCTGATACTTGATTTTAAAAAAATTATCTAAGAAACAAAAAGCGTAATATTCATACGTAAACTTTTTAATTAAAACACCAAAACTTCTTAATTTATACTTTAAAAAATACTAGAGATTGATATTAAAAAAATACTTATTACAGTTAATAATTATAAATTTATGTATTTCAGATGTTATTTAATTCTTCGGTTTATTATCGCATTTGTCGAAGGCAATGGCAGTTTTAGACATAGGTAAATTAGATTTTTGCTTAGGGCCTCGTTTTTAGGGGCCTCAAACACGAACAAATATATGCTTCTTCGTCCAACGCTAGGAATTCAGTTTCCCCCTCTGCTATGATCCTGGACTCGAACAATATCGAGTATCTTAGGTACGGGCTTTACAACATAAACTTATAAGAGGCCTCAAGTCTATGCTTAACTAAGGCATCTCACAACCTAAAACCGGCAGTGTTCTAAAATATTTCGGTAAATAGTTATTTGTGTCCAATGTAGAATGTATGGTGTCAATTGTTACCATGTATAAATAAGTCAGAAACTTGGAATTTTCTAAAACATCGATTTACTTATGATCATAATTTAAATCAAAATTACAAAGATATACATACTTTCGGATTATTCTGGAATATCTTAAAATTCAAGAAAGTATCGTACAAATATAATTTTTCAAATGGAAGAAACCGAATTAGTTTTAAAATACAAGTTTATGCTTTAAAAGTTTAAAAGTAAACAGGATAAAGTATAATGAATCCAAAATCATTAAAAAATTAAGAATCAATTTGTTTTTAGCTTCAAATCCAAACAAAAATTTTCCAATTTTTTATAAATGTAACGTCCATGTAAATATCATGGGTAACTCGGAAGATAGTTTCTGGTAGAAGAAGCGTAGCAATGGAATTGTACGGGCTAAAGTTTATATATAATGATTCTTAATTTTTAATAATTTTGCAGATCTTTTTTTAAAAAAAATCTACAATTTATATAATATAATTTACATGATACAAACTATTTGTATCGTTCGAATTACGCTAAATGCTGTCCAAAAATGGCAGTGCTAGCTTACTGTACGTATGGTAGAGTTTTCGAACGGAAGCGATTCGAATCTTCGCATCGGGTCACAGATATTTTTTTTTGGTTTTTTTAATTTAATACGCAACATATCAAAAAAAGACAAATACGAATTCCGTTTTTTAAAATTTCAACGTTTGTCAACGCTTTTTTAAAGTGAAAACATCGGCAATTTATACAGCAACGGCAAAAAACCTATGTACAAAGTTTGGCTTCGGTTAATAACTAATAAAGGCTGCACCGAAGTCTTCATTTTTTTTTACCTAATGCTTCGTCGAGGAAGAGGGAAAACGAAGAAGATAAAAAGCATTCGGATGTTTTTTTTTAAACTAGTATCAAAAACCAGATTTATTAAAAATCGATTAATCGATTGTGCATTTACATAAACTGACCGAAAGTCGATGTTCCTCGACTATAATTTTATAAATACCATCGGCCCGAAAATATTATATATATATATATTTATATATATTTGAAGTAAATATTGCCTTATCGAGAATTACCTTTAATCGTATCACAAGTAAGGAGCCTAAGTTACTTTTCCGTTAGAGATAATTGTAAAATTCTTTCCAATATGTCTTCTTCTTCTCGTCTTTTTCTCTCGTCCTCTTCTTTTTGTTGTTCCGATAATTTTAATGCCAGCTCCAATTGAGATTCGTCATTGTTCGCTTCTCCTCTAACTTCGTTTTCTGGTGGTAAATTATCGGAAGAGCTTAAGTAAGAAGCCATACTTTCTTGAATTGCTCTGAAAATATAATTATCTTTTTTAATAAAATAAAAATAATACCAAAGTCCTTGATGTAGGAATTATCGACTAAATACAGTTTACATGATTAAATTTCTACATTATTATAAGGTATGCCAAACGTAAAAAATTCAAAATAACAATAATAATATGAATGCAGTGACTGGCAATAAGCATGCAGCATAATTAATAAAATGAGCGCGAAATTTTATTATGAAATATTTTCTTATCGAAAAGATCTATAAGAACTTTAAATGCAAGTTGCATTTACTTCAAAATTCGTTTCATGGCCACCTCTTTAAATTATAATTTATTTTATCACATAACTAAGAACAGATATATAGGCTACTATTTGTTCTTGATTACTACTGTACAGCGTTACGACGCGATGGAAAAAATTGATTAGGATCAAACTTTGCAAATCCAATTCAAGTTTGAATGACTAGACAACAGGATTTTTCATTATTTAAATAAAATAAGTTAACTGTTTCTTTACAGCGGTTCTTAAAGATTAAGGATTAAAAGAAAAGGCGAGACAACCCCTAATTTGGCTTACTTTGGTTACGGCAATGCGACGATCTGCCGAGGAGAATGAAAGGCAGGCCTTTCTATCGGAAATTGGCCTTTATTTACGTGTTAGATACGTAAAGAAAACTCCACGTGAACAGCCCATTAGGTGAGGCGCGAACCGTGACCAACTATCAATGTTCAGTGATTTTATCCACTGAAACACTAGTGGGCACGAGACAATTCTTAATGTATAGGATGTCTCAGGAGATGCAAAAAATGACACAAAGGAGATGTAAGGTACCAATCATGAAATTTTTTGCAATTCTTTTTCATTGGATAAAATTTTATTTTACAAAAAATTGACAGATATAAATATTAAGTTCATTTTCAAAATAAGTGTGAAAGCAGAAAGACTAAGAAATCCTGATTTATAATAAAATTTTAATATAAATTTGGTTTTATGTTTTATTGTGAATAAAAGTAATGAAGCTTAATGTTTCAAATAATGATATAAATTTTTTGAAAAAATATGGATCCTATCAATATATACTCAAAGCTATGAAAAAAGTTATACAGTCAAAAATGTCAATACAAGAAACTGCAGTAACATTAATTAACCCAAAACTTAATCTATGCAAAATGTAATTCCATATATGATAAATAATCTGAACAGATAATATAGAAAATAAACTTTCATTTAGTTTATTTTAAAAACTTTCATGTTAAGTAAGTTTCAAAATGTTTCTTCTGAGTCATCTATGGCACTTGAATGTATTCTTAAATAATTAAAGTCCTTGGGGACATATAGTGTTAACCCTCAGTTCATGGCATTCTGGAGGTATTCAATTATGAATAATGCACCCTAGCATCAGCACACATCCATATCTGCTGGAGAAAAAGTATACCAGGACATTGCTGATTGCAAAAAATAAAGTGAATGATATGTTTCTGAAGCATAATGAGATCAAGAAGGCAGATGACACTGTTGTTGATGTGGAAAACATTACACCAAGAAAAATAATGTAAACAAAAATATTAAGGAAAAATAACTATTTTCTAAGCAATATTTTTAGGTTTTCAATAAGCAAAGCTGTGAAAATTGCAAAAATTCTTGCATAAAATATTCCTTGTGGGATTTTAATTATTATATAATCATAATCTTTTATGTTTTGATTATGAGATGACAGCCACATCTACAGGCAAAGTTTGGAGATCAAAAATATTAACACACACAAATTCATACAATTTTAGGATTTTTTTCAAACTCAATTACCCCAGAAATTTGACTCTGAGGGTTAGCACTATATGTCCCCAAGGACTTCAATTTAAAAATCAGCAATTGTCTTATATGTAAATACTTGTACAAATACATACCTTCCAAATAAAAGTAAAACATGAAAAGTTCATTTTGATAGGATATTAAACTTAATAATTTAGTAAAAATCAAGAGAATAATACCAAAAGAAAGACTTATCAGATAAAAAAGAAGTCCACAAAACAATATTTTTTGTAAGTCTTTAAAATTTCCTTTTCAATATCTAAAAATTAGTGAAGAATTCCTGAGAAAAATGGTTAATTAACATTTCTCTCAGGAATAATTACAGTTTCCTACACTATAAAAAATTAATTTGTTTTCTGACAATAAACAACATATAAATGATAGGTGATATCAGTTAATACAGCTAAATCATATTATAACACATATTTATATGTAACTTATATATATAACTACAATTTGCAAATTAAAAAATATTAAAATTATATTGACAAAAAAATTTGTAAGAGATTTCTGGCAATAGGATTTTGGGAAATAATTTGTTTACGTGCATGTCTGAGTTAATATGTACTGTACCTTAAAATTAACGCATATATACTACTTATACATATAAATTTCAAAGACAAATTAAAGTTTACATGCTTATTACAAATCACTCTATATAATATATTCTTTCACAAAAAAGTAATCAATAAAATAAAATAAAAATTAAATTAAAACTGTCTTTAAATAATATTGATGAAGTGCTTTTGATGCTGATTTTCAAAATTGATTTATTTTAAATTAAAATCAGATATTTTGGTCTTTTTGAAATAAATTTTATCTTCTAATCAATTTTAAATTTTAGGATTTATTCACATTATGGAAATATTATTTCAACTTGTACCAAGATGATCATAACAATGAACAACTACATGTTATCTGTAACCTGCAACTGAATTACAAATTGAATAAAGATTTCCTCTCTGCTCATCTTTAAGATGAATTTGTGATGGTTCATTATTACAATCATGTTAGTACAAGTTGTATGTATATATTTGCCAGTATCTAAACAATAAAAATAAAAATATTCTTTCATATATCAAAAATATTAAAACAGAATGTATAGTTCATAAAGTATTTAATTATACAGGACATTCCATGATATAGAGTCATATCTTTAGGAATATATTCCTAAAGTTATGACTCTACTTCATGGAATGTCATCATATCATATCATAGTTATGATATGATGACATTCCATGAAGTTAACATGAAGCATGACATTGAGCATGAAGCTAACATGAAGTTATGATATGTCTCTATATCATAATTTTAGGAATATATTCCTAAAGTTATGAGTTGAAAATAAGCTAAAAGAATCATGTAAACATATGTCAAATTTGCAACCATTATGTAGCCATACAATCACAAAATGCAAAACTGTAGACATAATGGAAGATAATCTTTTACTGATAAAAATAAAACAGAAGCACTGAGTTGAAAGTGCAAGAAACTACAACAAATGCTTAGAACAACATATTGTATGGAATAAAAATCGCTTTTCATTCAAGTTAGCTATTGATGACTCACTACTGCATAGCTATGCAATGATTGTGAAAATATATCAAATATATGTTCCCATGATCTTTTTAACTTAACTTCAGGTAAGGAATCTAATCTCTAAGCTATGATAATCATTGTAGAACATCCTATATTTCTGATAAAAGTGATAACACTCAATTTTTCATCAGATAATTCAGGATGTTCTGAAATCAGATAATTCAAAAATGTTCATATTTTCAGTACTTTGATTTTATACTTAATTTGTTTTGTTTAATTTTGCTTGTGGTTTTCAATTGGCCAGTGCACATAATTTATTTTTTGAAGCTATTGGGTTGTTCGGAAAGTAAGTTCGTTTTTTCTGTGGAAAAAATACAATTTTTTTAATAATAAATAAATATTTTATTGAATTATATATCGACCATTTTGGTCAAATACCTGTTGTCATCATTTCTGGTAGTAGCATGATTTCACATTCATAAAAGTTTTGATCGTTGCTTACAAAAAACTGATCCAAGTGATTTTTGACATTGTCATTTCAAGTAAATTAAAAATTTCAGTTAAAAAAAATTGTATAGACCAGAACAAGCAATAATCTGAGTGTGCTCCATCTGGCAAATATGGTTGGTGAGATAGCACATCCCATCTAAGTTATAACAGTTTCTGACAAATTACCAAACTTCTGTGAAATTTGACATTATCGTGGTAAAACACTACACCTGTTCTGTCGATCAATTCTGGCCGCCTTTTCCATTTGATGATATTACTCGATTTGTTTACTCGATGGCAGTACACTTTCGAATCAATTGTTAAATTGTCTGGTAAAAAGCTCAAAAAAAAATTTCCTTAAAATCCCACCAAAGAGAGCATCTCTCTTTAAAAACGTGTAAAACCCCTATATCGAGCTTTGAAACAAAACCAATTTGTTTCAAGTAATCATAAAAGGTTCATTTTGACAAATTTAATCTCTTAGGGATTTCACGTGTTGTTATTCGGCAGTTTGCTTCAATCGGTACCTTTATTTGGTTTTCATTGGCTTCAACTGGTCATCCAGAACGTGGTGCATCTTCAATATTGAAATTGCCAGAACGAAATTTTGTAAACCAGTTTTGGCACTGTCTTTCTCTCAACAATCATCTCCATACATGTACCATAATTTTTTTCTCACTTGAACAGCATTCTTACCTTTTCGGTAATAAAAGAGCAAAATATGCCGAAAATGCTGCTTCCGATCTTCCATATTTGATGGGACACAAAAAATAAACAATTGCACAAAATCAAACAAAATTTTTTACAAATAAGCCTTAAAATGCTAGCTGTCAAAATATATAATGATAATA